TTTCCTTTTTGGCCCCTCCAAATAGCGTTTCTCTTCCTTTCTGACCGCCCAAATCCTCCAAGACCCAGCTCAAGTTTGTCCCCTAACAGAAAACCTTCCTCAAATACTGCAGCTCATGCCAACCTTGCTCTTTCTTTACATGCTGCATCATGAATCTGCACCACTCAATTTCACACTAAAGTAGATGTACTCAGCACAGTACCCGACATCTAACAGGCTCTCAAAACTTGCTGATTGAAGATGTCTTTTAAAAAATTGCTTCTTTGGGACTTCCCTGGTGGTGCAGTGGTTAAGAATCCACCTGCCAATGCAGGGGACACGGGTTTGAGCCCTGGTCCGGGAATATCCCACATGCTGTGGAGCAACTAAGCCTGTGCACCACAACTACTGAGCCTGCGCTCTACAGCTCGCGAGCCACAACTACTGAGAACCGCGTGCCACAACTACTGAAGCCTACGCGCCTAGAGCCCGTGCTCCGCAACAGGGGAAGCCACCGCAGTGAGAAGCCTGAGCACCGCAATGAAGAGTAGCCCCTGCTCGCTGCAACTAGAGAAAGCCCGTGCGCAGCAATGAAGATGCGACGCAGCCAAAAATAAATAAATATAATAAATACATTTATTAAAAAAAAATTGCTTCTTTATGTTAAACACAACCTCCAACCAGACTGGAAGTTCCTTAAGGCAAGGTATATATAGCTTCATACTTAACCTGCATTTTTCAGAGTCCTCAGACTAATGCTGAGTTCACAGGAACTTTTTCCATATCACAAAGGACTGATCTTTCATGATGATAAATTACAATTTTTAAAAGACCAGCTTTTAAGTTTACTCTTTTCCCTGCAATATTTCTAGCCTTTACTTCTGCTTCAGGACAAGGATGTTATCTCCTCACAGACTTTCTACTACAGAGGTCCTTGTATAGAACTTTTATTTATTGGGATTGCTGCCTCTACTTTCCAGTTAGAGATATTATGGTATGGAGTCAAAAGGGGAGACATCTGAGGAAACATTTTCTGATTTTTCTTTTTAATTTGGGGAGGTACTCATTGAGTCTCCCCACCCACATTTTCTATTTTACACTCCTATTCTCTGAGACATCATCACCGAATAGAATTACTCCCCCATATCCCACTCTAAACTTAATCCCCATCTCAGTTGTTGGAATTTTAAAGATTCTATGCAGCCAAAGGACAGTGACTGGGTTTATGGGGTTAACAAAAGGTCTGAGGGCATTTGTAGTCTCCAGCCCAGAATATTCTAATTCTAGCAATTCTGGGCCCTGAGATAGGATGCAGCAATTTGATACCTGGGGTAGAGGCAGGTATTTCCTCAGAGATGAAATCCTTCTGCTACTAAGGGAGGGAGACCCTGGAGTTAGAGGCATCTTGGCATTTGGGAGACAAATAAGTGACTGATAAATGGACAGGGACTTGGAAATAGTTATTAAATAGGATTTTAGAGTTCATAGATTTTGTTCTATTAGTATTAGCAATATCCCTTTGATAATAGTTTATTCAACCTTTAGCATGTAAAATATATAAAAGGGTACTTAATCCAATATTTCTATTTATACAGTTGGTTGCTTCAACCCTTCACATTCATATTGATGACTAGAAATGGTTTATTATATATACACATTTTTAGTATTTATTTATTTGGTTGCGTTGGGTCTTAGTTGCGGCAGGTGGGCTCCTTAGTTGTGACTCATGGGCTCCTTAGTTGCAGCACATGGGCTCCTTAGTTGTGGCATGTAAACTTTTAGTCGCGGCATGCATGTGGGATCTAGTTCCCTGACCAGGGATCGAACCCGGGCCCCCTGCACTGGGAGTGTGGAGTCTTATCCACTGCGCAACCAGGGAAGTCCCATGGTTTACTATATTTTTAGGTCTGACATAAATCCAGACACATACATCTATAAGGATATAAATTTCCTCCCATATTTTGGATAGTTTTCTTAGACTAGGATCCCAGAGTTGCATTTACTAGGTTTGAAAGTATGAACAGTTTGATGATTTTGAAACATAGAGCAACATTATGATCTCAAGTTAGGGTTAACATTTCATTTAGTTTTCAACATTGCTATTCCTTTGAGAAAAAAGTAGATTAGTTAATTGAAAGATAACTAAGCCCTTAACATATAGGTGGATAATCAAGAACTAAATTGTGTGACCTTTAGAAAAAGTCTAGCCTTAGGCCCCAGGGCTTTGAGGCCAGATTCTCAGGGTTTGATTTCCTCCTAAAGCACTGGCTAGCTATATGGCCTCAGTCCACTCCTCTGTAAAATGAGGATAACAGTGCCTAGCTTTGTTCTGAAAGCTAAATGAGTTCATACCTTTAAAACACTAAGAGTAGTGCCTGGTACACAGTTAAGAGGGTAATAAATGCCAGTTGTATATGAAGTTTATTTTAGCTCTCCTCTAATCTAGATTAAAATCGTGATCTTAATGAACACCCTCCTGGAATGTTAATTTTACATGAAAATTCTAGGGAAAGTCTTTTTATACAAAAGCAAACATGAGTTTAAGGCAAAATTTTCATGAACAAAAGACTCCAAAGAAATTACCAGGGGTTACACCAGGACCTTAGTACCCATATACTATATACCATGTATGTGGAAGAGTTTGAGAAATAGGTGTGAAACAGAATAAAGGAAACATCATTTAAAATGAAGTCAGGAGGCCAGAAGCTGGAGCCTTCATGCACTTTCACTCACCATCAATTCCAGACCCCAGGAGGAAGAATTCTCCTCTACCAGCAACAAGCCCAGCCAATGGGAAAAGCAGCACCGTGAACTCTTGCTTTCCTCCAATGGACTTTCTGTCAAAACAGCCCCACCCTCGGGCTTCCCTGGTGGCGCAGTGGCTGAGAGCCCGCCTGCCGATGCAGGGGACCCGGGTTCGTGCCCCAGTCTAGGAAGATCCCACGTGCCGCAGAGCGGCTAGGCCCGTGAGCCATGGCCGCTGAGCCTGCGTGTCCGGAGCCTGTGCCCCGCAACGGGAGAGGCCACAACAGTGGCCCGCGTACCGGAAACAAAAACAAAAAAAACCCCAGCCCCACCCAACTTCCTCCTTTTTCTCTATCAAGTCACCTTCTTCTCTTTTTGTTGTTGGACTTGCCTAAGGTTTTTGACCCAAATTGCAATTCCTCTGCTATTCTGGAAGAAACCCATTATGCTGGTAAAATAACCAACTGGCTGTTTTATTTTTTAGGACAAGATAGATAGGATACCATGTACCCCAGAAAATAAGGATATGCTTTTCTAAACAAACAGGTGTTTTAAGCCCACTAGGCAGCCTCACCAACTCCTGGATTCCTGCTCTCAGCTGCTAGGCCCTGTTTGTCTCTGGGCCTACAAAGACGAAGGGGGACACCGAGGCCCCCTTCTCACTACAAAGTCAACCGTACGATAGCTGCCATTCCTCCATGCATCCCAGCTAAGTTAAGAAAGGCAGCAAATTAGCTTGGTGGCTCCCAGCCTTTGTATTTTGGCTTTGTATTTTTCTTTTATTATTATTATTATTATTTTTATTAGATTGTATGAATCCTGAGGGCAGAGAAATGCTTGCAAACCTTATCCTCCTCCCACATGGGACCAAGTAACTGTTTACTAAATTGAAGAAACAGCAGCACATAGCTCGTGGCTAAAGCCTTGTTTATTATTAAAAAGTCCAGTCGAGCTGCCGGATTTTTCGGATGGAAACAAACTCGCCCCGCGGGGTAGGAGCCCAGGGAACAGGCAAAGGGCGGAAGGGATGGCGAGGAGGGCGCCCCCAAGCAAGCGGTGTGGAAAGATCTTGAACATCACTTTATCTCGTTTGATTTTCGAGCCCAAGTCGGTTTCAATGTGAGCGCTGCGACCACGGACAACCAGAGGTCTCCCAGAGAGGACCTCTGTCCCTCCCGGGTCCGAGGTTTCCCACGCCGCCGCTGTCCAGCCTCGCGCCCAGCCCCCGCCCCAGGGAACCGCATCTCTCACCTGAGGCTGCGGGCAACACCCACGGCGCCCCCGCGACCAGCATCAGGGTCGTCGCGCCCAGGAGCGCGAGCATAGTCCGCGGGCCGCCGGCAGCCCTCCAGTCACATCTTCTGCTGCCACCGCAGGTACGGTGAGGCGGCACGAAGGAAGGTTGGGCGCACTGGCTGTCGCCGAGCCTGCGCGCCAAGCTCACCGAGCCCACCTCCGCGTCGACCCGCCCCTCTGCCCACCGACTCCCGTGCACGCGCCGTCCCTTCTGCGCGCGTGCCACCGTCCGCGCACGCGCGTGGGACACCGGTGGGCAGCTCGGCCTCCGCTGCCCTGCCCCAGACCCCTCTTTCCGGCCCGAGACTGCGCACTCGCGGTGCACCCTCGGGTTCCGGGAAGACCGCGTCTAACCGGAGGCCTTGACCCCGGCAGGAACGCGGAACTTTGCCAGTGCGTCTGCGCAAGCCTCGCGGCCTGGCGTCTGCGCCCACGTCCTCCCTGCCCCCTCGCTTCCCGCTACTAGCAGCCGGAGGCCACTGTCGGGCTTTCTCGTCCCTCGCCCTCACCAGCCCGGGGAGCGGACAAGGGAGCCTGGGAAAGCGGTGTTGGGGAGGCTTGCGGATTAAGGGAGAAAGCAAGGAGGAAGCTTCCGAGCGGGTCAGGCCGCGAAGGGTAGGCGTGTCTAGACACGTTGAGCTCGCATTTTCCGAGCGACCTGGCCCGGGGCAGCACGGGTCCCTTGGAGAGGGTCGTGACGGCGTCCGGGCCTTGGGGGTGGTGTCCGAAACAGAGGTCTCTAAGCTCTTTTGATCGTCTGCCCTTATCAGTAAATAACTTGAGTCCATTATTCAATGGTTATTTAAGTACGTTAGTAATAGATTATGTACATTATAAAAATACACAAAAGGGGGCCTCCCTGGTGGCGCAGTGGTTGGGAGTCCGCCTGCCGATGCAGGGGATGCGGGTTCGTGCCCCGGTCCGGGAGGATCCCGCGTGCCGCGGAGCGGCTGGGCCCGTGAGCCGTGGGCGCTGAGCTTGCGCGTCCGGCAACGGGAGAGGCCACGACAGTGAGAGGCCCACATATCGAAAAAAAAAAAAAAAAAATACACAAAAGGGAAAATGTAAAGGACGAATGATGTAATAAGTAGTCAAAGGCATAGCTGTTAATTATAAGAGCCAGACAATTTAATGCTCAATTAGAAAGTAAAATGAGTTTTGGCAAAAGAACTGTGCGCTTGAATATTGCCTTATAAACAACTGAGGTATAATTTGAATACCATGAAATTCACCCATTTCAAGTGAACAATGATTTTTAGTAAATCTGTCTAGTTGTTAGCCCTCATTTTTAAAAACCTTGGATTATTACTTTGTGATTCATAAAATTTTAGGTTTGGTTCTGAGTATGTCAGTGTCTTGCTTCCATTGAGGTCATAGATGGAAAAATACTAGATGAGAATATGTGGCTCTAGATGAAAGAAGGAAGTTCCTGATTGAACTTATTAATCATACTCTCATTAAAAGCCTTGACAACGACTTATGGTTTTCATTAAAGTTTTTATTTCCTGCCGTCCAAAAGTTGTTCTTGCAAACTAGTTGGAATAGAACAATGGGCCCAAAGTATTTCATGGACTGAAACATTTCATTCAAAATATTTTAAAATATGTTGAAAAATTTCCCTCCACTTTGGTGGGCAGCTCGAGATGCACATAGCATTTTCAGCAACAAAAATCACATTCAAATGGAAATATTTCCAAATATATTTTATTTTATTAATATTTATTTATTTACTTTTGACTGCATTGGGGCTTCGTTGCTGCGTGTGGGCTTTCTATAGTTGCGGCGAGGGGGGGACTACTTTTCGTTGGGGTGCGTGGGCTTCTCATTGCGGTGGCTTCTCTTGTTGCAGAGCACGGGCTCTAGCCATGCGGGCTTCAGTAGTTTTGGCATGCGGGCTCAGTAGTTGTGGCTCGTGGGCTCTAGAGCACAGGCTCAGTAGTTGTGGAGCACAGGCTTAGTTGCTCCGCAGCATGTGGGATCTTCCCAGACGAGGGGTCGAACCCGTGTCCCCTGCATTGGCAGGTGGATTCTTAACCACTGTGCCACCAGGGAAGTCCCCCAAATCTATTTTAAAATGCAAGAATTATATATAGTGAATACCTGTATAGTTTCTTTTGGTTTTCATTTGTTCACAATAAAAGCAATTTTAATGGATTTAATGCTTTGTTTTGTTTTTCAGTATTGCTACATGACATGCTAATGTTTTACACTTACTAAAGAAAAGGTCAGGGCTTCCCTGGTGGCGCAGTGGTTGAGAGTCCTCCTGCCGATGCAGGGGACACGGGTTCGTGCCCCGGTCTGGGAAGATCCAACATGCCGCAGAGCGGCTGGGCCCGTGTGAGCCATGGCAGCTGAGCCTGCGCATCCGGAGCCTGTGCTCCTCAACGGGAGAGGCCACAACAGTGAGAGGCCCGCGGACTGCCAAAAAAAAAAAAAAAAAAAAAAAAAACGAATAAATTTGACCTGAAAAGTGAGAAAATGCAGAAAGAAAGGAAAACAGTCAAGCAAGGCAAAATAATAATAGTTCAATCATTAAACAGAGTCAAGGACCTTTAGTTCCTTCTCAAGGGCTGTAGATAATATTCTGAGCCACATCCTTTGAGCTGTTTTGCAGATACTGAAACCCCCGCCAGGTGGAAGTTAACTGTATGCTGCCCACAAGCACGTAGACCCCAGAGCGGTTGGAACCAGAAGGTTGATAATGCTGACTCCCAATTACCTCACCACCAACCAATCAGAAGAATGTCCACAAGCTGATCACACCCTGCTCCTTGAACACTGTAAGACTCTTCACTACACCCTGCAGGGCGGGACACACAGGCTTGAGGGCTTTAGCCCACTGTGGCGCCCTTTGCCAGGCAAAACAATAAAGCTATTTCTTTCTACGTCACCCAAAACCCTGTCTCCAAGATTTCATCCAGCACCAGTGTGCAGAGGCTGAAATTCGGCATCAGTTACACTTGCAGTTTTTCCATAAAACATGTTCTTTTAAACTTTTTATTCTGAAATAATTTCAAACTTACAGAAAAGTTGCAAAAATAGTAAGAGAACTCCTGCATACCCTTTGCCCAGATTCACCAAGTTGATACTTTGTCATATTTGTCATCTCTGTCTACACATACAAGTATGCATACAAACTTCTTTTTCCCTGAATTTCTTTAGCTTTCTTTAACCTGGAGCAGTTACCTGGCCTTAGTCTTTCACAACACCGACTTTTTTTTTTTTTTTTTTTTTTTTATACAGGCTAATTATTTTACAGAATGCTTTTCAATTTGGGCTTGTCTGATGTTTCTTCATGATTGGAATCAGGGGTCTAGAGCGCAGGCTCAGTAGTTGTGGTGCACGGGCTTAGTTGCTCCAAGGCATATGGCATCTTCCTGGACCAGGGCTTGAACCCATGTCCCCTGTATTGGCAGACGGATTCTTAACCACTAAGCCACCGGGGAAGTCCCAATCCTTATTTATTTAAAAACTTTTTAAATTAATAGACTTCACTTTTTAGAGCAGTTTTAGATTTATAGAAAAATTGAGCAGAAAGTATAGACAGCTCCCATATATTCCCTTCCATCCCCCCCCACCCCGTTTCCCCTATTGTTAATATCTTGCAATGGTATGGTACACTTGTTACAATGAATGATTCTATACTGATACATTATTATTAACTAAAGTGCATAGTTTACATTAGGGTTCTCTCTTTGTATTGTATAGTTCTATGGGTTTTGCTAAATGGTTAGTCATTAATCTACCACTACAGTATCATACAGAATAGTTTTACTGCTCCAGTGGTTAAGAATCTGCCTGCCAATGCAGGGGACACGGGTTCGAGTCCTGGTCTGGGAAGATCCCACATGCTGCGGAGCAACTAAGCCCATGTGCCACAACTAATGACCCCACTTGCCACAACTACTGAAGCCCGCACACCTAGAGCCTGTGCTCCACAAGAGAATCCACTGCAATGAGAAGGCCGTGAACCACAATGAAGGGTAGCTCCCGCTCGCCACAACTAGAGAAAGCCCACGTGCACCAACGAAGACCCAATGCGGCCAAAAATAAATAAGTAATTAAATTTATTTAAAAAAAATAGTTTTACTGCTCCCAAAATCCCCTGTGCTCCAGCTATTCACCCTTTTTATTTTAGTGCTCAAATTGTCCCAGCCTTGGCCAGGGGGAGCCATTTCAAGCTGGCTCCTGTTTCTTTCAATACATCCCATCTTTTTTTTTTTTGGGAGCACTTCTTTATACCTTTGGGCATAAAATGTTCTAGGTTCATTTTATACTTTTCCTGCCCCAGTCCTGAAATCAACCATTTCTCCAAGGGGCCCAGGCTTCTTTTAGTGGGAAATAGTATTTAGAAACCAAGATGGGGGCACTAAAACTTTTGTTTTAATTAAAGAAGTGCAAATCAAAAAGTCAAAAGAAAAGGAGCTACGGGAAGTTCGTTTGGCTCAGTGTCTAATCCATCTCATAATTGTCTGGTACCATTTTGTTTTTATTTGTTTTTTTTCAGATTGTGGGACATTTGCCTGATAATTATTATCAGTCAGGGATGAAGGCAGGTTTAAAAACTGGCTGGAGGGCTTCCCTGGTGGCGCAGTGGTTGGGAGTCCGCCTGCCGATGCAGGGGACACGGGTTCGTGCCCCGGTCCGGGAAGATCCCACATGCCACGGAGCGTCTGGGTCCGTGAGCCATGGCCGCTGATCCTGCGCGTCCGGAGCCTGTGCTCCGCAACGGGAGAGGCCACAACAGTGGGAGGCCCGCGTACCGCAAAAAAACAACAAAAACAAACAAACAAACAAAAACTGATGAAAACTTACGTCCACGCAAATACCTGCCTACGAATGTGTAGAGCAGTTTTATTCATAATTGCCAAAATTTGAAGCAATCAAGGCATCCTTCAGTAGATGAATGGATAAATAAACTGTGGTACTTCTATACAATGGAATATTTTTATTAGTGCTAATGAGCTATTAAGCTATGAGAAGACATGGAGGAAACAAATGCATGTTACTAAGTGAGAAAAGCCAATC